GGCGGTCTTGCCGTCATGGTCAAGAGGGGGCATGAGAGGAGGGGTACACGGAGGAAACTCAACGGTATCCGTCTACCCCCAATCAACAAACATCTCTTCCTGCTGTGCCGCCCACCGACCCGCCTTTACTGCCAGAGGCAACAGTCCGGCCAATTCTCTGGCAGCTGCCGCCGTGCACGGGTGACACCGAACACCGAGCTTAGCGTACGAATCGGCGGATTCATTAGCCTCCCGCTCCCAAGCCGTCGTGCGGTTGGCTTCGACGTCAGTATGCGTGCAAAACGCCAGAATCTTATTAACGGGCAGCGTACCATCGTCATGAAAAACATGCCACACGAACTGCCAAATATTCGCGCAGTCGGCTGAGGTCGAACAGCTACGGCTGAGGTCGATAGTCGTCGGCTGAGGTCGAAACAATGCACCGTCGCGGCGCAATCAACCCAAACCTCCACTGGCCCAAACGAGCCCGACAGCAACATACAACTCGCACAATCCTCGGCAGCATGAGACGATTGCTGTGAGCCCGAGGAGGGAGGAGGACGACGAAGAGGAGAAGGAGAAAGAGAAAGAGGAGGAGGAGGAGGAGGAGAAGGGGAAGGAGGTACCGAGCGATGGAAGCGCGAATCCGAGCTAACGGACCGGCCCCAGCGGCGTGAAACACAGAAGCTGCACTGCAGGGCATGAAGCTCGCTGCAACGCACAGTTCTTCCTCAACAGCTACGTCCCCACCTCATCGGCCAAGCCAACAGAGGAGACTAGGCGTCGAGGGTGGCATTAGGTGCAAGAGGCACCAGTGCGAGGATGAAGACCGCGCATCGCACGAGAGATATGCATCTCCTCGTTGGCGCGAGTGGACGCAACGTCCGAATGCCCTTTGCATCTGGCTTGCTGCAACTTCTTGTTGCGGCCGCCGGCAACGGAATAAGCACCACACGCAAGACAGACGACCACCGAGCCGAACCTCTCGGCAACGTGGCCCAATTCCTTGCACAAATCCACCTCCCCGTCGACCCCCCCGACGGCGACGACATCAACCCGCTCCCCCTCGACGTGCTCTGCCTCGGGGCCAGACGCCTCCTCGAGGTCACGGGCAGCACGCACGGCTTCGGCAAGTGCGGCCGAAGGGTGGCGGTATGTCTCAGGAGTGAGATTGAAGTACCTGGCCGCCGAGGCACGCTGCAAAGGGGAGGGCGCGCAAGGACGCGCGCGCAGCGCCTTCAAGGAGGCAGGGGTCCGAGCCCAATGGTTGCAGACGCGACAACGATGTTCAGAACGCCGGTCGCAAACCATGAACTCATGGGTCTCAAGGGCCACAATTGGGGCAGGAGGGGGTGTTCGTCTGGGCGCTGGTGCACCAGCGCGCGGCTGGAGCTCATCGACCCTCCGTGCCACTGTGCGGGCCATCCATGAAAACGCTCCTGGGCAACCATATGAGACCTAGCGCCTTTTTTCGCAAAGTGGTCCCACTCATTGCCAACAAAATCCAGAACATCAGCGGATACATCGCCCAGTACATCTTCAGCAGGACGATGTGCGGGCACCCACTGAAACGTAGGGTGCTCGTCCGAGCTACCACTGGCAACATGCATGGACCTCCAGGCCGAAGCATGCCGGGAGCGAGCCGACTCGTTATGGGGCCCCCATGCTGAGCCCGTCTTGACAGCAGACAAATGGTCAGAGACGATGTGCACCGAACAACCAGCACACTTGACCGCCATCAGGCAAGCATAGTATTCAGCCCTAGGGACAGTCTGGACTGGGCCTGGGAGCGCTCCAAAAACTGTTCGGAGGATGGTCCCCGACTCGTCGAACTCCACGACCGCCCAACCGCATCGAGTGAGACCTGGGAGCGAGGAGGCTAACCCAGACCCGTCCGTGCACACCTTCCGCCCCCACACTCCGCGCCAATCCCCCCACCCAAGAACTGGTTGCGAGCTCGCAGGAGCAGCAGGAAAAAGGCGGCAAGGGCGGCAGCCCAAAGCTAAGATAGAACGTATCGATTCCGTCGAGCGGGCTGCTGAGATTCGAAATCATGGCCTCCCGATGATCCAGGACATCATGGGGCGGCTGCTCATCCTCGGGAACATCTAGGACCACGGGGCATCCAAACCAATGGTGGGCCTCGGTCCCCGGGCACTGACGGCAGACAAAACATTCGGGGGTCGGGCGGAGCTGGATAGAATGTAGACGAATTGGTGTCCACACGCCGGCGGCCCAGAGGGCCCTCGCGGCTCCTCCCCTGCTCGCGTCGCGTATTTTGAGCACTGAGCGGCGCATGGCTCGCCTCCAACACGACGCCTGCGAACCATTAGGGAGGTGCTCCAAGATGCGCGCCGACTGCCACCGACGAGTTCCTTCCTCAACAAACCTGCGCACGTCCCACGGGCAAAACTGGAGGAGGTCGACCAATTCCACTTGGTCCGAGCGGAGAACAGTGGGGGAGACCATGCCCCACCCCACCCTGAGCAAAGACAGCCAGACAGAAGAAATCGGCCCCCGGGCACCAGCCCACGAAGCGCGGTTATCAAAGCGCTCCTTGATATTGCACCACGCGCGGTACAGGCGGCTGGGCGCATTCCTGCCATCCCATAGGAAGGCGGCATACCGCACAACAGTGGGAACTGTACAATCAAAAACGGGGTCGAATTTATCATCTGGCTGAGTAGACAGATAAAGAGTTAGACATGTCTTCGGCTTAGCGCCTGCCATCCCTCCAACAAACGTCCGAAGCTCCCGCAGACCAGAATCCGCGATCCCCGACACCCCGGCACCGTGGCCAGCTGCTGGGGGGAGCCCCGTGCGCCAGAGGGTCTTGACAGCTTCGCCCGCAGCGTTCTTTAGACCCCAGATCTTGCGCCGTTTTGCCTGGAGTGTGCGCCACCGGGCCTTCTCCTGAATCCGAAACACACGAGCGCCATGCATCTCGTGACCCAGGTTACGCATTGCCTTCTTGGAACGAAGTCCTAGCGTCTGCACGTGCTTCGCAAACCGAGCACGACCACGAGACGCGCTGGCTACAAAGCCACTCTTGGTGGTCTGGATGATCAAGCCGAGAGGTCTGACGTCATGGCTAAACGCGTGCACTGCATGAGCTAGATCTCGAGATTCATCCTCCCCCCAGCTCCCGGCCTCCAACCGACTCCCCGTCCAAGTGAAGCTCACGTCATCGATCAAATCACGAGGCGTGACACTGGGATACAGCTCTTGGACGCTCAGCAAACTGCGATACAATAACACCTGCAGCATTGTTGTCGCCAGCGAGCACCCTGCTAAAATACCCTGAGAAGAGGAGTAGGAGTAGGAGAGGCTCGCAAAAGCACGAAGAGAGCGAGGTTGGAGGTACGATTGAATGGCCATCCGCGGTAATCGCAGAGGGAAGTGAACCTCGCGCGCCTCCTCGAGAAGGCGGTGCAGGATGACCATTTCATAACATTTCTTCAATGAAGACCGTGAAGCTGTCTTCGTCTAGCTCGTGCGCGATCTCCGTTTCCATGTTGAGTGAAAATGCGCAGTCCGGCGAAGACCTACCGGACCCGGAGCCCCATATGCTGTCCAAGGGGCGGGCCGCTTCCCAATCTGCCGCCAAGCCTCTGCGTATCCTTCCCCAAATTCGAAGTAGGGTCTGGAGCAAGGCTATAAGCCGGCATCCGCCTGAGGCCTTGGGAAGCCTGACAAGTTGAGTCAACAAACGATCCGAGGGCCAAATGAGCAGCTCTTCGCACTTCATATAAAGATTCGCGAGCACCTGGAGCCCAGAGTCACTCACGAAGATCAGACTACGCGGGGTAAAGTCGAACTGGCCTACACCAGTGCCCCAAGGAAACTTAATTATAGCGTCTCGCACATCTTGCACAGAAATTGGAGGGAGGGGGTCCCAGCAGCTGGCATCCGGCGGGAGGGATGGGGCTGAGACTCCGTGGTGGCTCCAAATCCCCTCCCCCTCCCGCATAGCACGGTCAGCCAACTTGAAGGGCTGGGCTTCCGTCCTGGGCAAATGGCTGGAATCGCAAACTTCCTGGAGCGCTCGAGCCTTCGAAAATCGATGCGCTGATTTAGCTCCCCCCTTGAATGCAGCAGCCGCCCAGGCCTTCCAGGCCTCGGCTGCCTGGGAGGCCTGCTGCTCCACAGTGGCCCCAGCACGTGCGAGGATCGAATCGACCATGCTATCGAAGTCTGGTCGAGATAAACATTGAAGTCCCTCGCAGAAAAACACCATCGCAGGACGATCTAGACGCTGCAGTTCGCCCGCTCGCTGAATGTTGGCGAAAAAACGCGTGAGTTCAATCAGCATGTCGGCGGCCTTGCGATAGAGAGGCTCTGCTGCCAGTCCGTGCTGTTCCTGGTGGTGGAGCAGAGACACTGTGTTCACCAAAGCTTCGCGCGTGCGTCGCAAATGCCTGGCCCAGCGGGCGGCGATTGACCAAGCCCGTTCTTGTTCGACGGGGTATGTTCGCTGCAACGGGGGCTTCCACTGGACCTTAGTGGCGATGAATTCTACTGGCCCTGCCCGGCCACAATACGGCGCACTCGCGCTGCCTACAATATCGTGCCGGCCTAGCAGCTCGAGCTCAAGCTGGGATAAAACTGCGTCCCAGGCGAGCTGCAGTGACTCATTATCGTTGGACTTGCGCACCAAAGCGTCGATGCCAGACCAATCTGCGGGGAATCGCGGGCATCCTACTGCTGGCTGTCGCGGCGCAGACTTCGGAGCCTTGAAATCGCGCGCCAGCAACGGCAAGTCACGACCAAAGAGGTTGAGGCAGACAGGGAGGTGAGGGAAGGTCGGAGCATTCTCCTGCACTCGCGCCTCACTGGACCGCGCAATCAAATTGTGAGAAACAATGAAATAATCGATGCGGCGCCCTGGCAATGCCTGTCTACAAGTGGTGGCCGGTGGCACTTTCAGGACATCCCCCAACCCGTGCAACCAAGAGGAGGAGAGGGAAGGGGGGAGGAGGGGGAGGGAGGAGGGAGGAGGAGTTCCGATTGCTCCATATTGAAATCGCCTCCAACGATCCAATCGTGGCTGGCATGATTCAAACGGGCAAGAAACGAGCAGAGCTCCTGTACAATTTGGGCGTTGTTCTCAGACCACCTTTCTTGGACAAACAAATACAAGCTGACGTATATGAAACCACCGGGCACGCCCCAGTGTACCAGCCAACGCACGTCCATCAGCAAAGGAGGGAGAAATGAGAAAGGGAGGTTTAGTGATTAGGATTCGGGCCGGCGCTAAAATCGCCAGGCCGTGGGCGGAGGAAGGAGGGGGAGGATTGAGGAGGGGAGAGGAGGGAAGAGGAGGAGGAGAAGGAGGAGGAGGAGGAGGGAAGAGGAGGATGAGAAGGACGGATGAGGGAGGAGAAGGAAGAGGAGCAGGAGGAGGAGGAGGAGGAGGAAGAGGAGGAGGAGGGAGGAGGCGGAGGAGGATGCGGAGGAGGAGGAGGAGGAGGAGGAGGAGGAGGCGGAGGAGGGAGGAGAGGGAGGGGGATGGAGGAGGGAGGGCTCAGAGTTGTGTAAAAGCTGCGCTGCGCGCTGGGACAACGGCAGGCGCCTCCAGGCCTGCCGGGGGGGCGACCGGGCGCGCGCGCGCCGCTGCCCATGGCGGCTTGCGCGGTGGCCCCGCGGGGGGGCCCCAGACACGGAACTGCTGCTATCGGCCTTCGTCCGCACCATTTCCGCCCCACTGTTATGTTTTGGTGTTTCCCCCCGCTCTCGAGCTGCTCGTTGCCGCGGGAGCGAATTGGCACAAATCCTGGACGGCTCAACCAGAGCCGCGCGGCGCCCAAGTGCAGTCCCACCACCCCCGCCCGCACCATTTTGTCGTCCTCACTTCGTCCGTCCTGATCTTCGGGTGTCCCAAAATCGTGCGGTCACGGACCGTGCGGTGACCTCGAAATCCTGACGGCCTCCACCGCACGGTCCACCACCATACGGCTTTGGGACCCTGGCGGCGCCGGTCGTCCGAGACATCCTCGGAGAATGGCCCACATCCCCAAACCGTGCGGCGACCCCGACTCCCCACGACTCCCCGCGGCGACTCCGAAGGGTGTGGTTCGCGAAGAGTGTGGCTTGCAACCCGCGCCTGGGGCAGCGGGCGAGGACCTCGACAGAGATCTCTCCCGCGCCCCGACGAGGGCTCCTCACACCTGTGGCGCCACGTGGTGACCCCTGAGCCCCAACGGCGCCTCTCGCAAACCACACCCCGACGTAACCGCACCCATTGGAGTCGCCGATCACCACGCGGTGTGGTCACCACACCGTCTGTGGGCCCCCGCGATCTCGTGGTGGTGGTGGGCCGTGCGCGGTAAGAGGAACAAAACATACCACAAACGTGACTTGTCGTAGGTCCGCGCAGATTTTTCTTGGATCTGCGCTGAACCTGCCTCCCAGGGGCGGCGCTGGAGGAGCCACCAGAGGGGGCCCAACGCGGATCCAAGACATCCGCGCGGGCCTTCGAACAATCATGCTTGTGGATGCTGCTGCTCTTCGAGAGATCTAGTGGCAGTGTGCCGCGCGAAGTCCGAGGGACGGCAGCCGTGGGGCGCGGTGCCGTATCAGCCAGCATCGCATCGGGAAGCAGGATTCAATCGGCACGTGCATCGGATCAAGATGCATCGGCACGGCAGCGAAGTCGAATCGGATCGCGTCCGCCCAGATGCGCAGCAACGCCACGCCATCATCGCACCGCATCGGATCGCCGGAGCATCGGAACCGAATCGGAGCGGGCTGGCTGAAACCGACATCGACTCGGATCGAGCGGATGGAACAGTGGCCCTGCGGTGAGTAGGGGGCCACGCGCGAACCCTACCCCTAACCCCCACGACTTCTGAGGGGGAGGGTGGGGTTCACTTCGCTCGGGAGCTCCCGAACGAAGCGAGCCCTACCCCTACCCCTCCGACATCGTGGGGGGCAGAGGTAGGGCTCGCATCTGGCCTGCCACCTTCCAACAACACACACGGATGGTGGGCTCTTCCGTTTCAAACTTGCATCGTCGAGCGAGGCTCCCGGAAACCCTCATGCTCCGCAATTCGGCGACCCCTTGGGGTGCCCTCATGGGGGGTATGGGGTAGGGTTCGCACGTGGCCCTGCGGCGGGGCGTCCGTGGGCGAGGCGCCCCCGCGCCCGAAGAGCCGGGCGCGCGGGGGGGCCGCGCGCGGCGGCACGGAGCAGGATGTGCGGGTGCGCCGGAGAGGGGGTGCCCGGGGAAAGGCGCGGCGTGCGCGGACGAAGGTCGGGCCGGGCGAAAGGGGGGGTTTGAGAATCAGCTCAGGTAGCTGATTTCCCCAGCGCCTCCCGGCGCGGGGAGGCGCCCATGTATCGAGGAATGGGCGCCGGGAGGCCCCCAGGCGGCGGGGCCGAAACCAGCTGCATGCAGCAGATTTCGTACCCCCCCCCCCTTTCCCAAACCCCCCGTTTCGCCCGACCCGAGAAGGGGGGGTCAGGGGACGCGCTCAAGGAAGAGGACGAGCAAACATTTGAATAGAGATGCCACCCGAAATCACTCAGATAATACAACTAGCAGTGCGAATCATGATCAACAGAAGAAGAGGACGAACGTGCACATATGCAAAAGGAGAATAAAGCGGGGCACACGAACAAGACAAAGACGAACACGATTGATGGGAAGAAGGCTAGACGCAAGGACAATGATTAAAAAGAGAAGATGAATTCTAATAGTCATAAGAAGAAGAATAAAGCGTGCCATCTGGAAGATGTCGCGGCCCTGGCCATGATGTCCACACGCGCACACACAACGCACCCAATCCCCCCCCCTCTCCGACGCCCCCGAGCTTCGGCCAGGAAACTAACCGCCGGACCCCGTGCCCCTCGGGGCAGGCAGCCTGCGGCAAACGGCTGCGGACCGCGGACATCTCCCTCTCCACCGCCTCCTCCGCGGCCTCCGCCTGCTCTCTCGTCCTCCACCTGCCCCCCCCTGCAGAGACAACGGCAGGCAGCATCCTGCAGGTGTGGGTAGGCGTCGTTTGAACGCCCACGGGCCCTGTCCCGATCCCGATCCCCCGACTGCTCCTCTGGCTCCCACCTGCGTCTCTCCCACTGCCTCCACCCTTCGCCTTCCCTTCCGTCCTCCCCCCTCCCCCCTCCCCTCATCCCGTCTCCCCGTAAGTAGCTTATCCTCGTCTGATCACCATGCGTGTCGGCAGGGCGGGCTGGGCATTTCGCGTGAAACTTCCGTCAATCTTATGCCCCCGAAGCTTGTCTTGTTCAACAGTTGCACACATGGAAGGCGGTTCCTTTTCAAAGCATGGTTCTCGCCTTTAGCGACGCACACATTCGTTTTGAACAATACCAGCAGTTACGCGCACAATCGGCGGTTCCTTTGAAACCTCGGCTATCGCGGTAGTGCCGCGCGGATTCGTCTGAAAAACTGCCCAACATTACGCGGATGGAACGCGTCAGAATTTCAAACTGTGGCTGTCGCCGCAATACCGTTTTCAAAAACGTGGATCCCGCTTCCGCTTTAGCGCCGCGCACGGTCGTCTCCAAAGCTTCCTACACTTGCACTGCCAGAAGGCGCCTCGTTTTCAAATTGCTGGTCCTATCGCAACGCATATTCGTCTTGCCACCTTCCTAGGGAGCCAGATGCGAACCCTACCCCTACCCCCCACGATTTCTGAGGAGGAGGGGGGGGGCACTTCGTTCGGGAGCTCCCGAGCGAAGTGAACCCCACCCTCCCCTCAGAAATTGTGGGGGGCAGGGGTAGGGTTCGCATCTGGCCTGCCACCTTCCAACAAAACACACGGCTGGCTCTTCCGTTTCAAACTTGCATCTTCGAGCGAGACTCCCGGAATCCTCATGCTCAGCAACTCGCCGACCCCTTGGGGTGACCTCGGCGCGTGAGATGCCTGGCCCTCTCTCCGGGTCCGGTCGATTCTCGCCCCAGGCGGCCGAGGACGGCGAATCACCTGCCGGGCCCGGCGTCCTCAGGGTCCGCCCACTTCGTGGCGGCCGAACCCGAAGACCCCAATTTCGGGTTGTGGGGGGTACGGGTTCCATATGTGTTTTTTCAATGTTCCCCGACCCCCCCCAACTGGAAATGAAGGGCAAATTGAGGCCTTCGGGTTGGGTTGGGGTGGTTTGGTGGGTGGTGAGGGGATGGGGAGAACTCAGAAGATACTGACCGGCAAGCATCTGCGACGCCTGGTTGGAGAGAGTCGGGCTCCACACCAGGCCGCACCGCCGATGCATCGGCGATGCGGCACGATCCGCGGCGACGGCGACGGGAGCTGATCCTTATCAAACGGTCGGGACCGGAACCTGCAGGCTCTGGAACCAAGGCGCTGCCTGCAGGCTCGGGACAGAACCTGCAGGCTCGGGACAGAACCTGCAGGCTCCTGCAAAGCCGGAGTTCGGCTGAGCCGGGTTTGGGGAGCCGATCGCGCCCCTGGACGTGGCCTTACATCTTGGCTGAGCAGGGTTCGGGAAGCCCCCCTAAAATATTTGCAGCCCATGTTTCAAATTGGCTGAGCCGGGTCTGTGCTGGGCCGCGTTAGTGCCGCCCGACCGGTCCACATCGATTCGATGGGCCGATCCTGATCGACCATCGAATCGGGCATCGAATCGGCCCGGGTGCGAGAACCGCATCGGATCGGCCGCGCCCGCGCAGGAACCATGGCCGCAGCGGGGGCGCATCGGCGAGGGCAGACGACTGATGCTGACCACTCGCCATCGCTCGGACGTCCCTTCCCTGTGCTTTTTGTTCGGTTTCGTGCGTGGTTCTTGTCGGCAAATGTAAGGGGCCACATGTGAACCCTACCCCTACCCCCCACGATTTCTGAGAGGGGGGGTAGGGGTAGGGTTCAAATGTGGCCCCCTAAAATGATCGAGGGTGCTCCTCGATGGCCCTCGCCGAAGGAAAAATGCACACGTCCGAGCGATGCCAAGGACACTGACCATCTGGGGGCGCAGCCGCCCTCGGAGGGTCCGCGCGGAGCTCCGCAGGCAGGTGGCGCGGCAGCGGCAGCAACGGAGACGGCAACGGCGATCACGATACAACCAACAGCGGTACTCCAGATTTCGTAATAAAAGGGAGGGGGTCTCAACCCTCCCAGACGAGAAGTTTTAGACCCCCCCCCGTGGGAGAACCCTCCAAAACATCGTCCCCAGACCCCCCCAGGCCCTCCAAGATAGCTTGGAAAAGACCCCCCCCCCCACCCCCGAAATGAGACCCCCTCCCTTTATTACGAAATCTGGAGTAACGACGGCCACTGTTGTCGTTAGTATCGTTCTCGTCGTTACCGCTGTTATCGGTATCGCTATCGTTGCTGTGGCTATCTTATGTGCTTCGGTCGGCGACGGCGGCAGCGGCGAGGGCGGCGGAGGGGCGAGGACCGGACGAGAATGATGTCGTGGTGCGATTGGCTCGGGATGCGCCTCAGCACTAGGCACTTGGCGAGCGTATTCTTAATCGGAGTTGCGGCATCGCGCGGAAGGGTGGGGAAAGGGGGGTCTAGCTCCAAACCTCTGCTTAGTGCGACTGTTTGGAACAATGATCCCATGGAAATGCTATGTGGAGCCGTCCACCTGCTTGAAACAGGCGCCCAGAATGGCCAAGACCTACTCCATCGGGGGGGAGGGGGTGGGGGGTGCGAGGGCCCGCGCCGATCGGCAAAACAATGGATAAGAAAACTCTGACTTTTCACCTCCACTGTTTGCGTTGTCTGACTTGACTGTGCTGCGCTCCTACTCTTTACTTCGCGTCGGCTGCAGCGTGCTGCCGCCGTTCTCCGCCGACGCCCCCCCTGGCTGGTGCGCCCCCACGGCTTGCCTAAGAGAGGAGGGACGAGAAAAGGATGATACCCTGGGTTTCTTGACAAGCGTGGGCGGGGGGTCCCCCCCCGACGGGGGTCAACCTCGCCTCGTCGTCGCACCGCGACGAGTGTCGGAGCGCCTTCGGCTCGCGGTGGCTGCCCGCGACGGGGGGTCGGTGTGGGGCTGTCGGCGGGGGTGGCGCCCCCCCGACGCTTATTACGAAACTCGGAATACTGACATCACGGTGCGGTGCGTTCCTGGAATTCCGGGGTATCCGGCGGCCCTCGCTTGTGGAGCCCGTGGGTGACAGCAGGAGAGACCTGGGGCACCTGCAGAATCCTGGAGCGCATCACTATCATGATCTCTTGTTCTGATGATGTTCTGTAGGTGCAGGGCTCATGGTGGAGTCTATATACATATATATTTATCGATATATCGACATACATATATATATATATAGATATGTGTATGGGCGTTTCCGGCTGGTACTGTTCAGGATGAGACGCATATTGTGCATCGGCATGCGGGCGCGGAGCGTTTGGCTTTCACTACGCTGCCTCAGCAGGAGAGATATTGAAGTGCTTTGCGGCTTTATGGGCCCTTCCCACAGTGTGGGAGCGATCGCGCGGAGTCCTCCAGGCACGCGACTGGCGCCAGAAAGAGAAACAACCACGCGCCGTGCGCCCGAGCGGTCAACGAGCATGCGACTGGCGCCCGACATGTGAATCGAGATTTCAAAAACAACTTATTTTCACCGTTATGTAACTGATTGTGTCGTTTTAGAATTCGTTTTGGCGTTATGACACTATGCCGTGTCTGCGTCTGAGACTGTATTACATTATCCTACCATTCTGCGTTCTAAAAAGACTTGCGATTATTGAGCGCACGTAGCGGTCCTGGAACATCGCTCTCCAATGCAGACTTCGTTTCGTTCTTAACACTGTAAAGCGGTATGCGAGAAAACGCGTGCAAATGATGCCAACGGTCCAGCTTCCAGTGCCTCTCTGGGTGAGACGGGAGGCGGCCTTGCTTGGAGCCTAGACTGACCCTTCGTGCAATCGGGCGCTGCGTCCGCTCGGGGCGAGCTTGCGCCCGTACAGGACGTCTCGCTTGCCCCGCGGCCACAGCTTGCCAGCAACGGTCGTGTGGAGGAAACTGATGGGTGGGGATATCTTGGACCAAACGGCATTCTGGATTCCACCCTCTGTCCTCCACCTGAAGAACTTACTCGATTGCTCTTCTGTTATCGATTCAGGGCTAACTGAGACAGCGGTGAGTCAGAACCAATCCCAAGACACCTCCCGGAATATAAACGCACCAACTTTCCGAGCTGCGTCCAACCGTGGCGACGAGGGACCCCCCCAAAAAGCACACTGCCGTCTCTCTTCCGATCTGCCCCCCGCCGCTGCCGCCGCTGCCGCCGCCGCCGCTGCCGCCGCTGCCGCCGCTGCCCGCCTCTCCCTCCTAGGCGGGGCCGGCGTTCGCTGCCCTCCTGCCGCTCGTAGGCGCTCACGGCGTAGCGCTTGCTCGGGTTCACGCCGATCACGGCGTACACCTCGCGGGCGGGGAGGACGCACGGCGCCCTCGCCCCCCTCGCCCTCCTCACCCTCTCGACGCCCCCGTTACCCCTGTCCTCCTCCTCCTCCTCCTCAACCTAGTCCTCCTCTCCCTCTTCCTCCTCTTCGTCCTCCTCATCCTCCTTCACCTCCTCCATTTCTGAATCCACAAACTTCTTCCTCCTTGCCCTCGGGATGAGATTTCGGGAGGGTGCCACGAGCATCTTGGAGGCTACCAGGAGGGGATGTCTGGATCGCCCCAGGGCCTCTCTCCCAAAATGCGGCCAGAATCGGGCAGCCCGTTGTAACTATCGTGGCTGCCTTGGCATTGCCACACAACCACGCCTATTCCTCATACTCCCACTCCCCCCCTCTAACGCCGCACATCGAGCATCCGCCATCCTGGTGTGCCGACTCCTCAACCGAGGGACAAAAACGGCGACCCAGAATGCTGAGAACTGACACAGGAGGAGGAGGGGGAGGAACAAGACCATCGGCCGTAGATTAGGTGCCACTGCCCACATGGTGTGCCGCTGTGGAGCGACCAAGCTCGGCCGACCTGGCGGTGTAACTACTAGTCGCCACCTAGCTGCTGGGCGCTCCAGCTGTTTCCTGTCAGAATCGGCGCCGGGGAAGTGCACAGCGCCAGCTAGCCAACGACTTTGCTAAACACATCAGGATATGCGATCTCACATGCCGTCATGCAGTCTGCGGGCCTAAAGAATGAAGGGGCCAAAGGACACACACATGAATAGACACACATACCCAAATACCGATGCCTTACTTATTTTCTGGACTTTCGTTTTCCCCTCCACTTCCCATATCGTCCGTGTCTTCCTTGGAATCGACGATTCTGTGTCTCTGTGTTTTTTCCCTCCTGAAAAAACAGGGAGGACGATGAGGGCACGATTTAAGTCGGGCCTGTCCCCCTACAGGGGGATTTTCGACGGAAAAAAACACCCCCAAAATAGTCAAAACATAGTCCACAAATAACCTGGGAACTTTTTTGGGGGCATTTTTTTGACCTTGTTGTAATATTTTTGGGGTATTTTTATTTTCCGTCGAAAATCCCCCTGTAGGGGGACAGGCCCGACCTAAGGGAAGGGGGAGACAGAGCAGGGGCAGGGGGAGGCGAGGACTCCTCGCGCCGACCCCCTCCTCCTCCCCCTCGTGCTGACTCCCCCTCTCCTCCTCCTCTGGAGGCTTCCTGGCTGGGGTCCGCGGGGAGGAGGGGGTCGCACCCTCGAGCCGCGTCTCCGATGCCTCGGCGACGCCTCAGCGCCGTCAGCACGGAGGACCTCGGCCTCCGCCCGCCGAAAGCCGCCTCGCCGACGCATCCGGCGACGCGGCGTGCTCCGCCGGCCCCGTCCACGCCGACCCCATCTTCGGGAGCGGCCAAGGAGGGGGGTGTCCAAGAGGGGGGGTGCAAATCATGACCGGCGGCATGTGCGCGGCCCAGCGGGGGGGCCCGGGACGTCATGACATAAGAAGGGGCGCCATGAACTCTGGGGAAATATCCTGGCCCCCGCCATGATATCCCCCCCCCTAGCCATCACCCCCCCCTCTTTTCCGCCCCCGACATCTCCTCCTCCTCCTCCTCCTCCTCCTGCTCCTCCTCCTCCTCCTCCTCCCTCCCTCCTCCTCCTCCTCCTCCTCCTCCCTCCTCCTCCTCCTCCTCCTCCTCCTGCTCCTGCTCCTGCTCCTGCTCCTGCTCCTCCTCCTCCTCCTCCTCCTCCTCATCCGCCTCCCCTCCTCCTCCCCCTCCCTGGGAGGCCCAGGCCGGGGCGGGGGGCCGTCTCGTGCGCGGCCGCCAGGTGGGTCAGCATCTGCAGGTGCCCGAGGTGCGGCGGGTTGAAGGAGCCCGCGAGGACCGCCACGCCCTCGCGGCGGCTGGGCGCCGCGTACGGGTACCTCCTGCGGCACGGGAGTGAAGGGGCCCTGAGACACACAAAAAAATACACACAAATCAAAAGATGCCCCATAGTTTCCTATATTTCCTAATCCTGTGGTGTTGGGTCCTCGTTTTGAAGAGACGGTCCCCGCGTTCCTCTCCTCCTCTCCTCTCCTCCTCTCCTCTCCTCTCCTCTCCGTAGCCCCAGAGCCCCATAGGAGCTCCACCGAAGGCCCCAGTGCTGCCGCCCGCATGCGTCACCACACCCAATTCGGCACACCCCTCACACGTTTCGTGGCCCCATAGGGAGCTCCACCGAAGGCCCCAGTGCCGCCGCCCGCATGCGTCAGCCACACCCAATTCGGCACACCCCTCACACGTTTCGTGGCCCCATAGGGAGCTCCACCGAAGGCCCCAGTGCCGCCGCCCGCATGCGTCAGCCACACCCAATTCGGCACACCCCTCACACGTTTCGTGGCCCCATAGGGAGCTCCACCGAAGGCCCCAGTGCTGCCGCCCGCATGCGTCAGCCACACCCAATTCGGCACACCCCTCACACGTTTCGTGGCCCCATAGGGAGCTCCACCGAAGGCCCCAGTGCTGCCGCCCGCATGCGTCAGCCACACCCAATTCGGCACACCCCTCACACGTTTCGTGGCCCCATCAGGGCACACCCCTCACACGTTTCGTCCACCGAAGGCCCCACCGAAGGCCCCACCGCTCGCATGCGTCCCGCACACCCATTTCGGCACCTCCACCAAACACAGCGTTTCGTGGCCCCACAGGGACCTCCACCGAAGGCCCCAGTGGTGCCGCCCGCATGCGTCACCCCCACCCCAGCACAGCATTTCGTGGCCCCACAGGGAGCTCCACCGAAGGCCCCAGTGGTGCCGCCCGCATGCGCCACCCCCACCCAGCACAGCGTTTCGTGGCCCCACAGGGAGCTCCACCGACGGCCCCAGTGGTGCCGCCCGCATGCGTCACCCCCGCCCAGTACAGCGTTTCGTGGCCCCACAGGGACCTCCACCGAAGGCCCCAGTGGTGCCGCCCGCATGCGTCACCCCCACCCAGCACAGCGTTTCGTGGCCCCACAGGGAGCTCCACCGAAAGCGGCACCCGCAATGCGATATTCACAACTGCACATGGTTGGGTCCTTCGCCAGGATAATTTTTTGGTTTTTGTCTTCCCCCCACTTCCCATATTTTCCCAGATTTCCTGGAAAATCAACGATGAATTGTGTCTGTGTGTTCTATCCCTCCTGAGGGAGGGACGCCTGCCATCGCTCGGATGCCCATTCCCTGTGCGTGGTTCGGTCTCGCTGGCCACCGCTCGGACGTCCGTTCCCTGTGTTTTTGTTCGGTTTCGTGCGTGCTTGTTCGCCACATGAAGGATGCTCCTCAAGAATCCTCGCCGAAGGAAAACTGCACACGCCCGAGAGATGCCAGGCTCGTGCGTCTCTCGTTTCTGCTCCGCGTGCGCTTTCTGCCCGGGACTCTGGAGCCCATGCAGCGGTGGCGACGAGGAGGGCCCCCGAAGACGCCCAGCAAGGCGAAAACGATTAGGGGGCCACACGCGAACCCTACCCCTACCCCCCACGATTTCTGAGGGGGAGGGTGGGGTTCACTTCGCTCGTGAGCTCCCGAACGAAGTGAACCCCACCCTCCCCCTCAGAAATCGCGGGGGGAGGGGTGGGGTTCGCGCGTGGCCCCCTCACGATGGAGAGGGTGGCGGTAATTATGGGTATGTAGTTCTCTCCTCTGAAGTCTGGCGCTGACCCCGCCGAGGCCCCTGTTGCTCCCATCGTGCAGGACCACGTCCCAGACATGCTTTCGAGCACCCAGACAAAGGGTCGAAACGGTGTTTTGGACGCCCGAGATGGGCACTAAAACAATGGGCACAATGCCCAACAGCAAATGTTGTCCCGAACCAACAGCGGCCGCTGTTGGGCAGGCGGCCTTCTGTCTCGAATGGACACAGGCCGCGGCGGCGCGGACAGCGACTCCTGTTCGAAATGAACAGGAACTGCTGTTGGGCATTGTACCCATTCTTTCAGTACCCATTTCGGGCGTCCAGAGGTGTCAAGCGAGTGCCGCCTCCCAGGGCCCGGCACGCGAGAAGCCTCTCGTCTCGGCACGCTCCTGGTGCTCGCGATCCCTGCTTGTGGCCACACGACTTCGACCAGCTTGGAACGCCATACGCCGAGGCGCGCGCTTGCATGAAGGGGCCCTGGGACACACAAATCAATGGACACAACTAAAAGGCTTTCCTACATGTTCTGCGCTGTTGTCCTCCCCCCCCCAGAAGCCCCAAGAGGCCCCCACGAGGCTTCCAAGCGGCCCCTAAGAGCTTCCCAAGAGGCCCACAAACTACCCCCAAGAGGCCCCCAAGAGCGCTCGTCGTCGTCGTCGTCGTCGCCATTCAGGGTCGGCGGCACCGGCCGTAAGGCCTTCGCAATAACAATAAATGGACACAACTAAAAGGCTTTCCTACATGTTCTGCGCTGTTGTCATCCCCCCCCACTTCGCACATTTTCTTATATGTTCTGGGGAATCGATGATCACTTGTGTCTTCGGGAGCGGCCAAGAGGGGGGGTGTCCAAGAGGGGGGGTGCAAATCATGACCGGCGGCATGTGCGCGGCCCAGCGGGAAGCCCGGGACGTCATGAGGCGCCATGAAATCTGGGGAAACATCATGGCCCACGCCATGATATCCCCCCCCCCCTGGTCACCACCCCCCTCCTTTCCGCCCCCGATGCCTGTGTGTCTTTCCCTTCCCGATCGCCCACGCCCGGGCGGTGCCCCGAGCGGGCCCCCCGATGGAGACTCGCCCCGGACCCCGCGCCCTGCCCCCCCGCGGGGACCCGCTCCCGGGAAGGGGGGGGGGCCCACGGAGGGCCCCGAGAGCAGCGGCGGGTCCATGGGGGGCCCTTGAGGGGCAGCAGCTGTCGCTCGAGGGAGGGAGAACCGCCCCGACCCCGACGCGAATTGGCGCTCGTACCTGAAGAGGCCCTGGGACACACCAATAAATACACACAAATAAAAAGATCCCCCATATTTTCATATATTTTCTTGGTTTTTGTCTTCCCCCCCACTTCCCATATTTTCCTATATTTTCTGAGGAATCGAAGATTAATTGTGTCTGTGTTTTTTTCCCCTCCTGAGTACCATCAGCGGCCCTGGGCGTTTCCTGGACGGCCTTGCCCTGTTCGATGCCTCCCCTGGGCGCGCTTGCTGGACGGCCTCACCGTGTCGGGGGTGCCCATCAGGAGGGTGGCTGTTTCTGCCCTCTCATCACAAACATGAGCTTTCGGAGGTCCGCGCGGATTTTTGGATCGGCGCTGGCCCCCCTCCCTGGCGCGCGGAGCGCGCCAGGGGCGGCGCCGGAGGCGCCGCCAGGGGGCACCGGCGCCGATCCAAGAAACCCTCGCGATGGGAGGCGGGGGCAGGGCTCGGATCTCGCAGCGTGCTCCGCGAACTCCGAACCCGACCCCCGCCGCCCACATCCGCCTGCCTGGATCGTTGATCGGCGAGGGTGGGGTTCGGACTTCGCAGCCGACCTGTTCCCCACTGCGGCTCCTGAAGGGTGCCCCGACCGCAAGCCACGCCGCCAGAGGCGCCGCGAGCGCCAGCGAGGCCGCCGAGCCCGCCGCTGCCGCGGCCAGCACCAGCTGCGTCCTGAGGGCGACGGCGGCGGCCGCGGCGGCCACGCCGCAGGCCTTCAGCGCCGGCCCGTGCCTCCTCGGGAGGAGCAGGCAGATTCGGTGCCCTGGATGTCGGGGGCGCCCAAGATGGGGGCGTCCAAGAGGGGGTGGCGCGCATCATGGCCGGCGGCACGTACGCGGCACAGGGGGGGGGGGTCCGGGACGCATGGAAATAAGAAGAGGCGCCATGACGTCTGGGGAGCGATCATGGCCCCCGCCATGGTATCCACCCTCCTCCAGTCATCACTCCTCTCGTTGCAGCCCTCGAAAACAGGGGAACAGACAATGGCATGAGCATTCACTTTCGGAGCTCCGCGCACATTTCTTGGATCGGGGCCTCCGTTGCCGCTCCTGGCACGCTCCGCGCGCCAGGGAGCGGGGTCCAGCGCCGATCCCAGAAGTCCGCGCAGAGCTCCAAAAAATGATGCTTATGCCGTTGCTCTTCTGCGACCAACGCCGTGTGGTGACGGACAGCGTGGTGATCTCGGAGTCCCCAACGACCTCACCGCGTGGTCCGTCACCGCACGGTCTTGGGACGCGGAAGCCCCCGTAACCTGAGACGTCCTCGGAGAACGGCCCGAGTCCCAAAACCGCGTGGTGGCCCCCAAATCCCCACTGACTCACCACGCGGTGTGGTCACCACACCGTCTGGGCCGCCCCGAAAAGATACACGGTCGGAAGAATAACATAAAAACATGAAGTATGAAGGCGAATCCAACGGGGCCATCAGGCTGCGAAGATTAGGCGTGCAGCTCCCTGGACCAGTTGCAAATTCCAGTTTCCACTGTTACAGTAATGGCTTCTGCTTCCTTACTGTTAATTGTTACTGAACGCGCGAGGGGGCGGAGCCGCAAAGCGTCCTGGTTAGCGTCCCCGACTCGCGTTGTCTGAATTCCCAGGGGGTCGTGGGACACGTAAAAAAAATACTCGCGTCCCCGAGGCCATATTCACTTGTAACTTACGCCATGTTCGCGTCCCCGAGGCCATTCACTTTCGCAAATCCGCCGGCCTCCTTGTGGGGGGGGCCACCAGGCTGTAGGGCGAAGGTTCGCAGTTTCCTGTATCAGTTGCAGCTTCCAGTTTCCACTGTTACAGTTCTGCTTCTTGCTGCTTACTGTGTTACAGTTCTGCTTCTTGCTGCTTACTGTTCCTTGTTGATGGACCGCGCGATGGGGGGAGGCCCCAAACGGACATTTTTACCACGCCCTGAGCGTGCGCTCTGAATTGTTGGGGTAGGTAAAAATTGAAACCCCTTACGCAGATCGGCGGGGTCAGGGTCCAAAAACACATAGGATTTGCCACATTTCTGATATTCGGTGGCACCCATCACGCAGAACGGCGGTGTCAGGGTCCAAAAACACATGGGATTTGCCACATTTCTAAAATCTGGCGGCACCGCTCACGCAGATCGGCAGGGTCAGAGTCCAAAAAACACAAGGGATTTGCTGCATTTCTGAAATTCGGCGGCACCACTCACGCAGATTTGTAGGGTCAGAGTCAAACAAAAAAAGGGATTTGCCACATTTCTGAAATTCGGTGGCACCCGTGACGCAGATCCGTAGGATCAGGGTCGAAAAACAAACAGGTCCCGACACTGCTTCACGGCGGCGCCCAGACCTCGTGATTTAGCTGATGCATCTCCCATTATCCGAGACAGGGGGCCGGCGGCATGGGGCGAAGCCCTTATGGATTACATAATGTTAGCGCTCCCGAAGCCAGATTTTGTTTTTGGGACATTGCGATATTCGCGCCCCCGCAGCCATCAAACCTTGTAAATTACACCATATTCGCGCCCCCGAAACCATAAACCCTGGTAAATTACAAAATATTCGCGCCCCCGAAACCATGAACCTGCGAAATAACATTCGCGTCCCCAGGGACATAAACATTTGTAAATTACACAATGCTTGCGTCCCCGAGGCCACAAACTTTTGCACATTCAACCATATTCGCGTCCCCGAGGCCATACACCCTCGTAAATTACGCAATAGTTGCGCCCCCGAGGCCATAAACCCTCGTGAGTTACAAAATCTTTGCGTCCCCGATACTCGCGCCACCGAAGCCAGAAACCCTCGTAAATTAA